CACCACTTTTGATACCTTCCGAACACGCCAATGACACAGATTAGGGATGACAAATATACCCGTATCCGTAAGTCAGGGACGTATCTATGTAGAAGAGGGTGGGGGCACATGCCCCCACTACCATTTTACATACATAATTTTTTTAGTCAAAAAAATAATATATTTTTAAAAATAAAAGTTATATTTTAATAAAATAAATATATATATATATATATTTAAATTATCTTATTATAAAATATAAATTTTAAAAAATTATCCATTTATTTGATATTTATCATATTTTCGAAGGAGATTAGTTCTCATATGTGATAAAAAAAATGTCTTAATAACGAATTAATTTTTTTTAAAAAGTTTAACTTTTGATAAAATAAAATTTGTACCATATATTTATCTTTTGTGCTTTTTATTTATGTATACGTAGATTAAAAAAATTAAAATAGTAAAGATTATAAGATTGTATATGTCAATTAATTTAAAAAATCAAAATGGGAAAGATTGGAAGATTTGTATTCTATTTAAAAATTTTATTATAAAATATATTTTGAAATAAATTATCATCTAAAATATTATATTAGATATTAAAAACATGTTTATATTATAAATAAATTAAACTTGGTTTTTATATAATTTAATATATTTATTTTTATATTTTTATTAGTATTAAATTATTATAAAGTATATTTTTAGAATTGTAGTTCTAACCAAACATTTAAATTTTTTTATAATATATAAATAAGTCATATTTAGGACATGTATTTTAAAAAATAGTTAGATTTAAACTACTAAATTATAATATAACATAGTCTAACCTAACTTATTTTTATCTTTAATTATAAGCATAAATATAAAAATTTGTAAAAAATAATTATAATATATTTATACTTTTAAAAATTATATATAAAATTTTTAATATTATAAATATATAAATAATTATTGCTCCCACTATCTAAAATTTCTGGATCCGTCACTGCTGTAAGTAATACCCAAACTTGTCATGACTTTGACGAGATATACCCAGTTTGACTAGGTACGAGTATAGGATAAAACCCGATATATTGAATCAGATATGGGTACAAGTACGAGTATATACTTATCCGTCTCCGTTCTCATTCTCAATTTAATACATACTTCTGATTTAAATATGTTAAATTTTTTTAATATTTTATTATGTGTGATTATTTATTATAATATGAGATAGAGAAATAATATAATTATAATATAAGAAAAATAATTTAAAAATATTGTATTTCTTTTTACAAAAAAAATAACAATTTTTGACAGGTGTGGGTACGGGCAAAGGTATACTCAATACCCGACAAGTACGGATACGGGGACAAGATGAGTTTAACTCGCGAGACGAGATTAAGTATCATGAAACTCGTACCCGACCCGTCCCGTTGTCATCCCTAACATAGACCGAAAGAAACATCAACCAACCTGACATTTTCTGAATGCATGCATTTTTGCATGAGAGGCGTCACCACCTTTGACGCCTTCTAGACATTAACGTGACAAAAATTATTTATTTTGGTAATTTAATTTATTTTAGACATTTTTTTATTTATTCTAGATTTTAAGCCAAAAAATTGACTTAATATAATAGGATCAAAACTAACATAAAAAAATGTAAAATAAATTTAATATATGATATTAAAAATAAAATAAATCATCCTTATATATTTAACACAAATTTTTATATTGCATGAGAATGTTTTTTAGAAAAAGAAAATTTTGACGAAAGAAGTTTTAAAGATCTTTTTTAACTTTTTTTATCTAATTTAATTTTTATGTATCATAATTATTTATTAGTTTAATTATAGTATTTTAAAAAAAAATTATCAATAAATAAAATAATATTATATTAAAATATA